TGGTGCTCCATTGACGGCAGCATCGCGCTGCCCCTGACCCCGGGCTCCCCCAGGACGCTGGCGCAGGAGCACGCCCTGTGCCTCACGGGCGACGGCCTGGCCCACCTGCAGGCCAGCGACCCCCAGCAGCTGCTGCTCCTCATCCCCCACGTGCAGGTGTTCGCCCGCGTGGCCCCCAAGCAGAAGGTGCGTGGGGGGCCGGGGCGGGCTCGGGCCTGGGGTCGAACTCGGCCGCTCAGCCCGTCCTGCCCACAGGAGTTCGTCATCACCAGCCTGAAGGAGCTGGGCTACGTGACGCTCATGTGCGGAGACGGCACCAACGACGTGGGCGCCCTCAAGCACGCCGACGTGGGTGAGCAGGGCCGGGGAGAGCGCTGCCCCGGCGCAGCTCTGCCCGTGAGGAAGGAGTGCAGGGGACGCAAGGGACCCGTGGGGCTGCAGAGTCCCAAAAGGGCACGCGTGTCCGGAGAGGGGAGGACAGCTCCAAAACCCAGCTGCTGAAACAGCTGCCCATGGGTTGTAGCCTTGAGCTGGTGTCAACAGGGGACCCGACGGAGCCGGGCATGGTGGCCGTGCCTGACATCCCAGCACTTAGGCTGAGGCAGGAGGATCACAAATTCAAGTCCCACCTGGAAGGTTTAGCAAGACTGGCTCAAAATTTTACATGAAAAGGCCTGGGGCCGTACTCAGAGATAGAGCGCCTCGAAGTCGGTGGTCAGTAGCCTCATCCCACCCCGCCCCCGCCCCCACCCCCACAGAACGCCTGCGCAGTCTCCGTGCTCTTCCAGCTCTGACCGCTGTGTGCGCGAAAGGCGTCTAAGGGCTCGTCTGCCTCCTAGGGTCGGGCTTTGCAGTCAGTCTCTGCACACCGGGGTGGGTTTGATCGCTGTAGCGCTGCAGTTTTTCCTTGGTTTATTGCGGATTGTGTTTATCTCTCGGTTTTCCTGCTTAGCTCTTGGGCCAATGGGTCCCTTGGGGAGGTTGTTGGGGGGTGGGGGGGGCATCTGGGGAGTGGGGAGCTCTGCGCCCCAGGGTGAGCCTGCACCCCGTCCCGTCCCTGCAGGGGTGGCGCTCCTAGCCAACGCCCCCGAGCGCGTCATGGAGCGGCGGCGGCGGCCCCCCCGGGACAGCCCGGTCCTGAGCAACAGCAGCGGCAGGGCCAGCTCCAGGCCAACCAGGCAGAGGTCGGGGCCCCCACCCCCCGAGGAGCAGCCGGCCTCGCAGAGGGTGAGCTGGGCAGGGCAGGGGGGAGGCGCCCCGCCGCCCCGCCCCGCTGACCCCGCCCCCCCGCAGGGCCGCCTGAGCCAGGTGCTGCGTGACCTGGAGGACGAGAGCGCGCCCATCGTGAAGCTGGGCGACGCCAGCATCGCGGCACCCTTCACCTCCAAGCTCTCGTCCATCCAGTGCAGTGAGTGCCCGCGCCCCGCGCCCCTCCGGCCCAGGCCCAGCGCCCCCTGGCCCTCACACGGCCGCCTGTCTCCCCAGTCTGCCACGTGATCAAGCAGGGCCGCTGCACACTGGTGACCACGCTGCAGATGTTCAAGATCCTGGCGCTCAACGCCCTCATCCTGGCCTATAGCCAGAGCGTGCTCTACCTGGAGGGGGTCAAGTTCAGCGACTTCCAGGCCACGCTGCAGGGGCTGCTGCTGGCCGGCTGCTTCCTCTTCATCTCCCGCTCCAAGGTGGCCGGGGCGGAGGGCGCCAGGGCGGTGGCGCAGGCCCTACCGCGTGTGGTCTGTGGGTGGGAGTTGTCGCCCACAGGTGCCAGGTGGGGGCCGCGTCAGGGTTAGCATGGCTGTGGGGTGGCCTCACAGCCCTGCAGGGATGGGCCAGGCCACAGGTGGGAAGCAGTCCCCAAGCACTCAGGGTCTGCCGTGCTGTGGAGACAGTGCAGCGTTCGCAGGCCTCACGGGCAGCCTCGTGGTCAACCAGAGACCCGGCTGCACCAGTTGGTTCCGCATGCATGCTCAGGAGGCTAAGGCAGGAGGGTCAAGAGTTCAGGGCCAGCCTGGGCAAGTTACTGAGCCCCTGTGTAACACAGTGTGAGACCCTGAGTTCCACCCACATCAAGAAAGCAAAGTCCAATAGCTGGGTGTGGTGGCGCACACCTGTAATCCCAGCACTTAGGAGGCTGAGGCAGGAGGATTGTTGCAAGTTTGAGACCAGCCTGGGCTACAAAGTGAGCTCAAGGCCAGCCTGCACTGCATAGCGAGATCCTGTCTCAAAAAAACAAAAAGAAAGCAAAGTCCAGCCCGGCCGCCAGAGGGAGTGCAGGGCAGCAGGGCGGCAGCTTCCACCCAGCTCCCAGTCGGCAGCAGTGCCTCAGGCTCGGGGCGGGCAGAGCGGCCAGCGAGGGGCCCTGACCCGGCCCTGCTACTGCAGCCCCTCAAGACCCTGTCCCGCGAGCGGCCCCTGCCCAACATCTTCAACCTGTACACCGTGCTCACGGTGATGCTGCAGTTCGCCGTGCACTTCCTGAGCCTCGTCTACCTGTACCGGGAGGCCCAGGCCCGCAGCCCCGAGAAGTGAGTGTGGCCCCCTGGAGGGCGGTGGCCGCCACGGGGCTCTGCACAGGTGCCGGGGTCCCCTGGGTCCTGAGAGGACCTGACCCGGCGTGGCCCCGCAGGCAGGAGCAGTTCGTGGACCTCTACAAGGAGTTCGAGCCCAGCCTGGTCAACAGCACTGTGTACATCATGGCCATGGCCATGCAGATGGCCACCTTTGCCATCAACTACAAGGTGAGGCCACCCTCCCCGCCCGACCGAGCCCTCGCGGCCCGGCCACACGCAGCCATCGCCCTGGGTCCCTGCAGGGCCCGCCCTTCATGGAGAGCCTGCCCGAGAACAAGCCGCTGCTGTGGAGCCTGGCGGTGTCGCTCCTGGCCATCGTCGGCCTGCTGCTCGGCTCCTCTCCCGACTTCAACAGCCAGTTCGGCCTCGTGGACATCCCTGTGGAGGTGGGTGGCCCGGGGCGGGGCGGGGCGGGCCAGCGTCGGGCCTGGCCCCGGCCGCGGGTCCCCACCTCATCCGCCTCCCACCCCGCAGTTCAAGCTGGTCATCGCCCAGGTCCTGCTGCTGGACTTCGGCCTGGCGTTCCTGGCCGACCGTATCCTGCAGTTCCTCCTGGGGGCCCCGAAGCTGAAAGTGCCTTCCTGAGACAGCGGTGCTGGTACCCACCGCTCACCCTGGCTGCCGCCCCGCCGGGCAGAAGCCCTGCCAGGCCCCGGGGAGGGAACGGTGCCCCCACACCCCACAGAGTGGAAGACTGAGCTGGGGCCGCCACACGCCCGACGGCCCTGCTGGTGGGACCAGCCCCGGGCCGGCACCTTTGTTAAATAAAGCAGCACCCGAGATTTTAAGAAGCCTGCCTCCACCCTTCTGTGCCCTCTTCAGCGGGCCCCGCTCTGAGGCCGGGAGCCCTGGCAGCTCACGCCCGTGTAGCGGCAGTTTGTGTCTCAAGTCCTAACACGGTGGGCCGTGAGTGCAGCCTCCCGGGGCGTTGTCGCTGCTGCCGGACGTGTGAACCGGCGGTGCGCCCTAGGCCACAGGCATCACAGACACCCGCCGGGCCGGGCTGCTTGGGGTCCTCACGTGGTGACAGCACCCATTTCACCATCTTGTTCGTGGTGCTGGGCCTGGCTCTGAGCGAGGCAAGTGCCACATCCCCAGCGCTGCTTTGGAGACCTGTTCTCGCTGAGTTGTCCAGGCTGGCCTCAAACCTGCAGTGCCCCGCCTCAGCCTCCTAGTAGCTAGGATTGCAGGTGCATCCCATCACGGCAGAGTAGCCAGATGTGCACGCACACCTGTAATCCCAGCAGTCCAGGAGGCAGAGGCTGGAGATGGCAAGTGCAAGGCCAGCCATGGGCAACGTAGCAACCAAGCCAGACCCTTTGTCAGAGTGCAAAATGAAAGCCCTGGGTTCCATCCACAGTGTGGCCAAAAAAAGGAAGGAGAGGAAAAGGGAAGGAAATGAGCAGTGCAGGCGGAACCGTGGCTGGGAGGGACACTCTGCCGCCCTGACGCGGTGCAGGGCGGGCTGGCTGCCTGGTGAGGGCGCTGTGCCCCTCACGCCCTCCTGCTTTAGGGCACTGCCCCAGGGGATGACCCGGGAGACAGATTGCATCGCTGGGCCTGGTCCAGGGGTCGGGGCGCCAGCTGCAGTCGCCAGTAGGTAGACGCTGAGTCCCCGACCCCAAAATGCTCCCTGGAGGTCTCAGAGCAAGGGGTCTGTGTTCCTGCCGCTGAGCGGAGCACCATCCCCTGTGCTCTGCGGCTGGGCGCAGAGCCGCACACCTGTAATCGCAGCACCGTTGGAGGCTGAGGCAGGAGCATCCCAAATGCACGCCAGGTGGGCGATTTACTAACTTAGCAAGACCCTTTCTCCAAAGAAATATACATGAATAAGTACTGGCCAGGGATGCAGCGCGGTCGGAAGCCCTTGGTTTCCCAGTTCCACTAGGGGCGGGGGCTCGAGCCAGCTCGAGCTTTGAAGGTCACTAGGGCTCCCTGGGGCCGCCCCGGGGACTTCGGATGCGGCTGCGGTCAGTGGCGCTTCAGGTGTCCAGCAGGGAGGCTGTGGCCGGGTCAAGTCAGCGTGGGCTCGGGGACCCAGCAGGGCTCGGGGCACGGAGGTCACCAGGTCGCAGGGAACGGGAGGCTGGGATGGCACCCCGGCCGCGGGCTCCAAGGTCAGAGAGGGGTGCTGGGCTGCGTGGGCTTGGAGCGGCGAGCGGGCCGCGTGGACCGAGCCCTGCGAGGGCGAGGGCGCGGGCCGGGAAGGTGCGGGCCGGGGCGGGAGCT